GATGCCAAGTGCATTTTCTGCAGCCTCTCACCTGTTGGACTGCTAAAGCCCTGTTTAAATCCTGTGCTTATGTGAGCTCCTCCAAACCTGGACATCTGGAGCAAAGCTTGCTGAATGTTCATGGCAGGGGGCTTGGAATGTGATGATCTTCAAAAGGTCCTTTCCAACCCAAACCATGTCCCAGGATCCACCTCAAATTCCAGACTAGGGAGACACCTCTTCCCTCAGACTCTCATGTGGGAGCAGGGTCTTCTTGCCACCCCTTGCATGTCATCACCCCTTCAATGTGTCTCACAGTGTCTCTGCCACCCCACCATTAAACCTTCCCCTCCTCGTGCCTTTCTAGTTTCACACAGTTAAATTGAAGTGGTGACTGTAGAAAATGACATCAGCATTTAAATAGATTTCCTGAGGAAATGTTTTAATGGTCATTTTTAAAGCTTGTTTTGTGCTTTTTAACTTTTTCCTCTCTGGTCAAAATCAAGAAATCATTTCATACAGACCAGTACAGGAAAAGAGCTAATTCTGACTAATCTCAAGGGTTTGATTGTTTTGATTCATTTTCATTCTGAGCATCGATGGCAGAAAAAAGCCTGAATTTCTTTCTATCTTCAGAGAGTTTCTTTGGATGAATCAAAACATTCTCCACTCCTAGATTCAGGCAATACAAAAACTCAACAAGTCTCTTCACATTTAAGAGTAGAATTCCATAAATGGCAGCAGAATCTATAAGCCCCCTCACACCACTTTGGAATTTCTTGAAGAGAAGTTTACACGGCAAGTGGTTCTCAGCACTTTTATTCAGTGACATCTGACTTTCCCACTGGGGCTACTAAATTGGATATAAATTCCTTCTGAATCCTGTCAGGGGGCTCAATCCACGGTGCCTGGTGATGAGAGGAAGAGCTTCCAGTACTCTGACAGTCATGTGTGCAATCTGGATTCAGCCTGGTGGGCTGGAAAGGAAAATTCCATATCTTTCTCCTTGCGTTTGTGTGTGCAAAAGTGAACGCCCATTTCACATGGAAAATGCACTTTTACCCACCCTCATGTTTGTCTCAAAGCTCACGCTCAAAGTTAAGGCCGTGGGGAGTGCGTTTTCTGAGGTGATTTCCTCTGAGACAGAACATGCATCATTCATGACATGAAATTCTGGAGTTTGGGAAGGAAAACGCAGCCCTGAGCTGGAATTTTCCAAAGGTAAAGCTGATTTTCCTCCGCCTCGCTGAACTGCCGAGCGCAGAGCTGAATGCCCAGGGTATCTGAGATCTAAATACAAGTGAGAATTGGGGGAGTGTAGATCAGGATCTGACCTTTGCAGGTCCAAGCTCGGTAATCTTCAGCGTTTTACAACTGCCTTTATTGCTCTCAGAGTTTCAGCTTGTTCTGCACATCCAAATCCCTGGGAAATTTGATAAATTCTCCAAGCAGGGCCGGATCCTGTTGTCGCCCTGCAGGATTTAGGTGCTGCTATTCCAGCAAAACGTGACCTTGCATCGGGTTATCCACGGCATACGATGGACCTTGAGCTCTGCATTCATAAAACCTGGCAAAGGGCACAGTTCCAAGCTCTGTGAAAAATTGGCTGTGCTTCCACAATTTTATTCAGCAAGAAATCAGTGCTGTGCGTCACTGGTCAAAAGATGACTAAGCTCTGGTTATAAATGATAGAAATGATAAGGATTTACAGCCAGATTATGCCTTTTGACTCCTTTTGAGTAATACCTCACTTCTTCACCAATGAATTAGAGATAAGCAAATCTTTAAACTAGGTGTTTGCTCAAGAGCCTGGCTGGCTGGAAATGTATTTATGGATATATTAAGTGCTTTCTGGAATTAGGGCCAAAGCAGGAGGAGGCAGCAAGAGTCCAGGTTTAGGGAGCGTATCTTGTACACCAGCAGAGGACACCTGGCCTTAGAGGTTGCCTTTAAAACCCTCATTTCCAAACCAAACAAAGTGAGCTGGGTGAAATCCCAGCTTTACTGAACTCCGGAGCAGAAATCCCAGCAACCTCCGTGGCCCTGGGATGTCATCAGACAGATGTCCTTCTCCTTTCTCCACTTCTCCAAGTGGAGAATACAGTGCTGCCAGCCCTGTGCTGGTGTCCCTGACCTGCCCGTGGCCAGTCCCAGCAGCCTGGTGACATCACGATGGCACAGATTTGCATCTGCCTCCCTGAAAATACGCAAAGAGGTGAAGGCATAATTCCAAGAAAACCCAACCCTCCCTGCCTGACATTAAATTAGGTTTATCACCCATCAAACATGAGCTTTTCTATGTATATTAAACACTTATTCCCTCACCCAGCCGTGCCGTGGGGCTGCAGCTTCCTAAAGAGTGAAAAAAAAGCAAGATACATAGCTTTTCTGAAGTCATTCACTATTTTCCAAGTGCAGGAGGACCATTAACTAATTAATTTGCCCAATTAATCATTCAATGGCTATGTATAATGGTTGGGCAAGCCATGGGCTTCATCCTGGCACAGGCTGAGTGAGCAGCTCCCATCCTGTCCCTCTCTCCAGCAATTCTGTGTGCCCATGGCCACAGGGTTGCCTCTGTCTTGGCTGTGGTGGCCCAGGATCAGGAAACTGGGAAACACTCTCATTGGAGCTGAGAATTCATTTGTGTTGGAGTTTATGAGGATTTCAAAAGTCTCATTAACTCTTTTTCTTGATTTGTGAACTAGGAAGAAAAATTAATATAATAATAAACAAAGAAATAACAAACAAAAGAAATAATCAGCTAATATAACAGTATAAAGTAATTTAAATAGAAATACTTTTCACAGCTAGGACTATCAAGTACTAGAAACTAACTCGGTGTTTATGACATAAAATGAAGTCATCTCACAAGTTGGATTCTTTAATCATGAAGTGCTTTGTGATCGCTGCAATTGCTCCATCATAAAACTGTTCCCAAGAGGAAAGAGACACTGAAGATATTTTTAAGGGCCCTAAAGAATAACAGCTGGTTTGGGATTTTTATGTTCAACAAGGGTCGTATTTCCTTGCTGTGGATTCTTTTAGGATAAAAGGTTAAAATCCTGGTGTAATACCCCAGAGCCAGCCTAGAAGTACCTGGGTGCTGGAAGGTCAAGCACAGACATGGCTATTTAAGGTTATTATATATTTCCCTATGATAAAATGCAGTTTAAAATACTTTCATAACCTTTTTTTGCTCATTGTTATGAGTCACTGTAGTACTAAATCCTGACTTTTTTTCAGAAATAATCGTGGCTTACCCATGTGGCATATTTTCTCAGAACAGTTAAGTAAATTATCTCTCATTTTAGGTCTGTGTCTAAGCAAACTTAGACAACCCCGCAGCAGCAAATGTGAAGTGTTTAGTGTTACTGTGGAATGGAAATGACCAAAAATGGCACAAATGCCATAACCTCACCCTGGGCAGGGTTTTATTCCATCCATCCAGTGAAGTAATTGATCAAAGCTAATAATTTTTAGATACCCAGCCTGGTTTTCCAAGTCAGATGCTTAGAACCAGAACTGAGTCTGTGACATCACATGTTGCACATGAAGGAGCACAAGGAATGTTTCCAGCAGGACACTACAGTGGAGGAGATCCTGCTCCCAGAGCTGAAGTGACAGAGCAGCCAAGTGTCTCTCACTGTGAGAAGGGCTGTGCTGCAGGTGAGGCAGAATTTGGGGGGGGTTGAGTGACCAAACTGCAGGTGCTCGTGTCACCGTTAGGAGTTTAATCAGCTTAATCCTCAGTCTCAATCCTTACAATACTGAACACATCCCTGAAATGTAGATTTCCTTGTTTAGATTCCCTTGGCAATTGCATCCTGTGCCTGTGTCTTGCCCAGAAAAGCTGTGGCTGCTCCATCTCTGCAAGTGTCCAAGCCCAGGTTGGATGGGGCTTGGAGCAACCTGGGATAGTGGAAGGTGTCCCTGCCCACGGCAGGGGATGGGATGAACTGGGCTTTAAGGTCCCTTCCAACCCAAATCATTCCAGGATTCCATGAAATAGTGAGGCAAAAACCACAGACTATTTGTGCAGGAAGAATCTCAAAACCAAACAAGTTTAGTTCTGACTCTTCTTGGGATCTGAGAACTGGATCACCAGAAGATGAAACCATTTGGCACCAAATGAGTGTCACCCTCTTTGCCCAGGCTGACAGGACCTAAAGTTGCACTGGGGAAGGTTCAGGTTGGATATTAGGAAAAATGTCTTTGTGGAAACGTTTGTTAAAGTGTTGGAACAGACTGCCTAAGAGAGTGGTGGAATCATAGAATATGCTGAAGTTGGAAGGGACCCACAAGGATCCTCAAGTCCAACTCCTGGCCCTGCATGGGACACCCCAACAATCCCACCCTGTCTCTGAGAGCGTTGTCTAAACACTCCCTGAACTCAGTCCCCATCCCTGGGGGAATTTAACAGCCGTGTGGATGTGCAGCTGGGGACATGGGTTAGTGGTGGGCTTGGCAGCGCTGGGGCAACGGTTGGACTCGATGGTGACAGACAGCTTTTCCAGCTGAAACAATTCCACAATCCCTTGATTTCATGCTTCCCCCATGCCCTGATTTTATGATTCCCGCCATCCCCTGAGCCCAGGATGTCGTTATTCCACGATGCTATGACCCCACTGTTCCACGGTTCCATGCCCATCCTGCCGGGGCGGCGGCCGGGGGGGATGCTGCCGGTGAGGGCGGCGGCGGTGCCCGTCCCCTCGCCGTGCGGGAGCGCCGGCGGCCGCTCCGCTGTGACGAACGGCGGCCCCGGGGCAGGTCTGTGTGTCGGACCCTCCTCCGCGGGCCGTGCAGGGGATGCGGGCTCGGGGGGCTCTCCGTGGCGGTGCCCGTGAGGCGGCGGTGCCCGTGAGGCGGCGGTGCCCGTGAGGCGGCGGCGGGCGCGGCCCCCCCGCTGCCGTTGCCATGGCGGCCGCGTTGCGCTCCGCGGGGGCGGGCGGAGGGCGGGGCGGGGCGGCCGCTTCAGCACCAGCGCGGCCGCGGACAGCGGCGGCCCCGGCTCGGCGGCGGCCCCGGCTCGGCGGCGGCCCCGGCTCGGCGGCCCCGGCTCGGCGTGGGCAGCGCGGGGAGCGGCGCTCGGGGCTCCGCACGGTGAGTGTCGCCGTCGCTGCCCGGCTCCCCGCCCCATCCCCGCGGGTGCCCTCGGGCGGGGTCGCGGTGCCCGCGGTGCCCCCGGGAGCTGCGGGGCCGGGGCGGGCGGGGCCGTTGCGGGAGCGGTTGGTCTCGGTTAGGAAACTTGGCGAGCCCCGGAGCGCTCGGCTCGGGCCTTTCTCCTCTCCCCGTAAGGCGTTTTCCTCGCAAACTTCGGGGATAAACTTAGGGAAAGGGCGGTTCGGAGAGCCGGCGGTGCCGCGGGGGGTGCGTGTGTGTGTGTGTCTCGCTGCACGTGAGTTCGCTCTCGCTCGGGTGTTGCTTTGCACGAACCCTGAAAACTCCCTGGATTCGGGCAAGCCCTGCCTCGCCACATCCATAGTAGGAGTAGTAGGAACGTGGTATTCCCTACTCGCTGGTGGAAGCTCTGTCACCCCATGTAGAAGATGACAGCTCTGTCACCCCGCATAGAAGATGATAGCTTAGGTAGCTTAGGCCTTTTGTAGGTGTTCAGCAAGGACCACCGGCGTTTTTGGGGGAGGTCACAGCCTGGAGGTGACACTGACAGTGACAGCGAGCTTGGGATTCTCTGCCCTAAACGATTAGGAAGTGCCTGTGTGCAGTGCAACTCGGGGCTGGAATTCTGCGTCTTCCCACGCAGGAATCACTCTCCTGTGCTCCCTGCCTTCTCCCACAGGCGTCTCTGAAACATCTGTTAAGCTACTGCAAATCTTTAATGATATTTATTGTTCCCTCTCAAAGAGGAGGGCTGGCTCTGCAGGCTCACACACGTTGTGTTCCATGTGCTGCGTTAACAGAGACAGTCTGTCCGTGGCTCCCATAAAAAGCAGCAAGGTGGGTATGAATGGGGATGTGTTCAATTCTCCGCTAAAGGCCGAGCAATGAATAATAAATGAAAGTGACTGAGAGCAGGGACTCTCCCACACTTCATGCTCTTGAGTTCTCCCTCAACTAGAGTCAGATGTGTCTGTCCCATTCAGAAATATAAAAACCATCCCTGTGTCCTTTCATCCTCCGTGTGCTGTGCCTGCAGCATCCAGGAGTCAGGAATAAGGGCTTGATGTGTGGAGCGGGAGTAGCTACCTGCATTATACCTTCTATTCCTTATACCTTATCCCTCTTGCATTCCCACAGCTCAGTTCAAAGAGAACACTAATAACTCCTTTAATTTGCAGTGCTGCAGACCTTTGACCCCTGGGTAGTGTTGCCTGCACACCATCCCTGCCCAGCTGTGCATCCTGGGCATAACTTTACAGTAAATTTAGTTTTATTGCCTCATTAGGCGTTAGAAATACAGCTCTGGTGTGCTCTGTAATGATTCAGCTGCCACAAAGAGAGATGTCTACCGTTGACCCTTGTGAGCAAAGGCCTGACCCTAAATTCCTGCCCCTGGGTGTATCAGCAGCTCAAGTTCGGGAGTAGCTGCTGACACCGTGGAGTCCGGTAATTTATGAACTCACTATAAATCAGGGAGACATAAGTAGACCAAGTTCCTTGAAAGATCACATTGAGACTGAGTTATTTTGGAGAGTCAATTAAGCAGCATTTAGGCTGGCAGTGGAAATTCATTCATTAATTAATGCTGCTCGAAGGAATGAAATTCTACTCGTGTTTTCAAAACACTCCTAATCCGGAGCGGTTTTGTGGCCTTCCTGGTGCTGGGCTCTGATGATCAGACTCCAGGATGGGCTTGGGCTGAGCCATCGGTGCTTGGCCATGGCAAGGGGTGAAATGTTGGTCCCTCGTGCTCTGCTTTGCCTCTTTGGTTCGTGTTGGGGAGCCCTTGGTGGGTCACCCTGAGGTTATTGACAGTGTTGAGTTCCCAGTAGGCTGATGGTCGTCTGCATATGGGGATAGACCTTGTCTTATGGATTTAAGACATAGATATGTCTTGCACATCATATATATCTTACATGTCTCTGTTTAGCCCCTTGGTTTTAATGGGTGAAGGTCAAGGAACAGCTACAAGATTTGGAGGCAAATTCCAAATCAAATTTCACCACCAAACCGCAGGTAACATGGAGTGAGGGACAGTCCACATGGAGTGAAAATGAGCTCAGGTTTATCTTACAGAAGTCAGAAGCTCAGCCATGAATAGACCAGGCCAGTTCTGCTCTCATTTACACCAAAGCAATTCCTGGCCCTGGCACAGGCTGCCTGGAGAAGCTGTGGCTGCCCCATCCCTGGAGATGTCTCAGGCCAGGTTGGGCAGGGCTTGGAGCAACCTGGGCTAGTGGAAGGTGTCCCTGCCCATGGCAGGGGGTGGGACTTGATGGGCTTTAAGGTCCCTTCCCACCCAAACCGTTCCATAATTCTATGAATTTACGCCCTTGGGTTTCAAACCTTTTTTTAAAAAGAAGTATTTTGAAAGTTACAGTCTGGCATTTCCCTTTTGTCACCACGATATTCATGCAAAAATAATTATTCAGAGCATGAATACAGAATCTGAGATGCCACAGGGAATCAGCAACATACCTATTTCCCGAAATTAGTGTGGCACAGAAAGGGAGAACACAGAGAGCTGCAGAATTTGAGCACAATTCTGAACATGCTTGCTTCATGTTTCAGAATTGCTCACAGATCCTTTCAGTTCTTCCCTAGCCAAGATATTTTCGTGGCCCTAAAAACTGTTTCTTTCAGCGCTTATTACCAAAAGGAGGGTTTTCCTCCATGAACCACCACAAATGGGTACAGCAGATGCTGATTTATGTCAACATCAGCTGATTTTCTTCTCCATTACCCTTCCTGCTGGGTCTTTGCTTAGCGAGCAGGTCCTGTCGCCTTGACAGCCGGTGTCACGTTGGATGTTTTTGCACATTTGGGGAGAGCTTGACTCAGTCCTTCTCCCAAACTTGGTGTCGTCATGCGCATGATGGTCATTATGAATTATTGATAGTGATGGAAAAGTCACGAATACACAGCTTTGCTGCAGGGCCTCAGCCTCTTCCTTTGGTTTAATCATTGCTTTATCTCCTCTCCGTGTTTTACTAATAATGTCAACAGAGACATTTTGTGCTGCCTTCCCCACCAAAAAGTAGCAGTGCTGGTGCTGCAGCCACAATCCTTTTTGCTGATCTAGTTTGACTAGTTATGCAGTATTATTTTTTTTATATCTGCAAACTCTAGAAAAGATTTCAGTTATCAAAAAACTATTTTCCAGGGGAATCCTGGCTCTTACTGAGGCAGAATTAAGAGTAAACTCTTGTACAGCAAGTACTTTGAAGATAATGAATAATTCATTTATTTTTCCCCACTTTTGCAGTGTAACTCATAAAATTGGGAAAACAGCTATGAAATGAAACCCTGCTGCTGTATTGTGTAGTCAGAGAACAACTTTCTAATATAAGTATGGAAATTAATTCATAAAAATACGAATTCTGTATTAACATTATAAACACAAATAGTAATATCAATAAATAGTGGAAGACATAGTAATCTTTGAGTAGATTGGGAGACACATTCCTGTGGCAGTGCCAGCCCAGCTTGCCCCAGAAGTTTTTTTCCAACTCAATTTAAACTCCCCACTTGCTGTAGCAGCCAGGATGAGCCTTTATTTGAAAGGATCCTAAAATGCTTAATAAATCAACCTGGAGCCTGTGCCCAGAGCTCACAGCTTCTGCCATAAAATGAAAATACTCCTGGAGTGAAGCAGGATAATTGTCTAATAGCAAACACTTTTCTAAGACATGCAGAGCAGCGCAGGGGTGATGCAGAGGGGCCTTCATGGAACACCAGTTCCATTTGTCTCAGTTTTCTGGCTCCTCCCAAGGCAAACTCTCCCAATCCATTCTATTACTGTGTGAAAAATCAAAACCCACCCTCGATACTCCAATGGCTCAGCACTGGTTCAGAGAGGGGAAAAAAACTGATTGAAGGAATCGAATGCAGCTTCCAGCAAATGTGCTTTTTTGGGTATGATCAGTTAAAAAAGAGGAATCCATTCAATTTGCTGTGTGTGTTGTGTTGGAACCCTCTCCAAACACACATTAATGTGGTCCTGGAAGTGTCCTCTCCTGGTTTAGTGAGCAAGGCTGTCCCACAAGGCAGGTTCTTGGGGACATTAGATGGTTGTCCTTTGGTGTAGATGAGGGGAGGAAGGCTCTGCAGAGTTTCTGAGGAGAGCCTTGACTTTGTAATGCCCTTTTTCCCCTGGCTTAGCCCAGACTCAGGGCTGTGATGGCGCGTGGCATCCCTTATCCCTCCTCCTCTGGCATCTGAAGAGGAGAACGATTATGAAGGTGGTTAATAGATGGGAAAGGAGGATTGTTCCATTCTTTACCTTGCCTGCTTTTGCTGCAGTTTAGTCATAATAATGAGAGTTTTTGATAAGTGAGCTTTGGATTGAGTCACTGGGATCTCAAGTGAGTAAACAGATGTTGGATTAGTCTGAGGAGCTGAGCAGAGCAATCATGTGCTGCTCGGGGAAGCACACGGAGATGGGGGGAGGCAAGGATCTCTTGGATCCCTGGCTCTCATTCCTGCCAGTTTGGGGGCAATCACCTTGGAATGCCCTGGGTCAGCTGATGAGGTGTTGGAGCAACCTCCATGCTCAGCAAAGCCCGTGGGAGGTGTGGGCACTTGAGGGGTTTGAGGGTTGATCTTCCTGACGGTGGTACCTGGGAGTGGGGACGCCCAAAGGCAGTGACCAGCTGGGACCAGGCAGTGACCAGTGCTCCCAACCAGTGTTTGTGGCAGGGAGGGAAATCCTCAGAGCCACATGTCATCTCCCAGACCCTGCTGGATCTCAGGAGAGTCCTTTGCTTGTTAGGCACGAGGGGGGAAAAAAGCTTGGAAATGTGTTTGTTGTCACATCTCACAATTCACGTCTCAAATGCAGACACAGGAAAATACTACCTTTGAAACACAATTGTTGACACAGTAATTTTTATTTTTGTTTTTCCTTCAGTTGGAAAAATCATGGGAACCACAGGTGTAGGATAAGGGAATGATGCTCTTTTTCCTGTGATGACAGAGCCAGGCAGCAGTTGGGAAAAATGTCCCAGCAGCCAAAGCAGTCCATCAATCTCAGCTGCTGCTTCTATGAACATATTATATAATAATGGCTCTTCTTCTACAAAAAAAAGCCATAAAGGTCTCTCTTTTCTCTCCCTAAATATCACCAGAGGAAGCCATTAATTCTGCTCTAGAGTTAATCTGTTCCATCGTGGTGATATATCCATTAATGGATATCATCTATCCATTAAACCTTCCCCCCATGCACAGAAAGAAATAACAATATTTCATCGTTAAAAAGAATTTTGTATTTTGTGTTTTGCTGCAAAGTGACTGATTTGTCTGACTTTTCCAGACTCCACATGCTGAGACTTTTATCTAAGCAGTCCAGAACCTCTTTTCTTTGGCACTGAAGGCCTAACTGGGCTCTCCCTCTCAGACTGACCAAAGCTCAGCCCTTGCCAGACTTAACCCTGTATTCCCAGGTGCAAATACGAGCCATCACTGCATGGATTTGGGGAACAAGTCAGGGAACACACATTCATCCAATTAATAGCCCATCAGGAGTTGGAAAGCAAATGAAAGCTGCAGACAGGCCCTGGCACAGCAGCAGGGTCCCCACAGGGTGAGCAGAGCAAGTGCTGTGCTTCTGGCAGCAGTAAAATGGCATTTTCAGGGATGAAAATCTGCCTGCTGTAGCATGGAGGGAAAATCCATCTTATTCTGAATAAAATTAATAACACAGTGCATACCTGCTTGGGCTATAATTTCAGCTTTTCCTGCAGATTATGCAGATATTTACACTCAAATCATGCTTGCAAAGTTACCTTTAATCAGAACCACATATACTTGCATCATGAAAGCTGAGATTGTGGAACACAACTTATCAACAAGGAGTAAATTCACGTGGATATCAAACCATAGAGTGGACAGGGCCCTGCTTGGGATAGTCAAGCAACACTGTGTGGGTGTTGTGGACTTTGCAGGATGGGGTTCTGGAATGGGAGGTCTTTGAAGGAAAGCCTAAAAAAGGTTGCCTAGCTGTCAGCATGTCTTTGAAATGAGAAACAAATATAAGTGCCTTTATGGTAGCACAGGAAATGTAGAAATATATTTAATTCCAGCATAGCCAGTCAACAGGCCACTGGAACATGGAAATTCCAGCAGCAGGGATCTTGGGCTTACTGTAAATGAACCAACAACCTCTGAAACAAGACCTTCCTGTCATCTGCTGTTATAGAAGCAATAGAAAGCCACTACACGATTCATTGTGTTTCATTTTGCTGGGTTGTTATTCATTCTGGTTTTTAAATGATTCCACTACATCCCTGCTAATTTGCATGTCTATTAATAATATCGAATTCTCACTCAAAATCCCATAGAGGAAATGACAAGTCTGTTAATATCCTTGCAGGGGATTAAGTAGGACCTGAAACCCAGAGTCTTTATAAGCACTTTGGTGCCTTTCCACTGCTTTTACCTTATCATTCCCAACTTGAAAGGCTGCTGTTATTCCTGCAGGACTGCCAGGGCTGTAATGCATCATTTATTATGTACAGCAGGTGACTGGTAGTTAACATTGATCTCAAAATGAATGTTATTGTTTGTTGGGTTTTATTTCCTGCAGCTTTCCCGGGGAGCTTCGTGTTTCTGTCAGTGACAAGATGACAATTCATATTTTTACCAAATGATCCAGTGACTCATCCTATTAACTCCGCTGGAATACACACTTCCAGTCCTCCTGCCACGGTAAGTCCGTGGGATTTTGCATTCTTTCTGGAAATATTGCTCAGGAGTCAGTCCACAGTATGTATTTGGTAGAACAAATAACCTTTGCCTAAACCAGGAACTTCTCAGCGATGACCCCAAATAGACCAAATATTGCATGTGACACCTTTTTTATTTTTTAAAGTTATTAAAGTATTTTAGAGCAATTGAGAAGACTGTGCTTCATCCCATGTTATTTACAGGGCTTGGTTTGTTTGGACATGGAGGCCCTGTAAGAAGGAACATCGTGTGTTGTGGGAGTTGATGTAAACTCAAAAAATATCTGCCCTTGAAAATGCTGCCCTGTGAGGGGATCCCCATCCAGCTCAGAATGACTGTACCATGAGTCATGAGGCAAAATCTGTCATCCAAAACCCCCAAATATCCAGGATGAGATAATATGGATTATGTATTCATACTGCTTGCCCAAATTAAACTGCTCAGTTTGTCCCTCCTGAGAACTCCCAGCTCATCGAGCCCATATCCTGCAACATTCCAGGTGTTGGCTCCTCAGCTCCTTTTCCCAGTGTTCTACTGCAGGGTTGGGCTCTGCACATCCCTCCCAGTTGGGAGAAAGGGCATTGGAGGCTGGTACATGACTCTCCTGATTCTCATGGAAACATGGGATCACAGGATGGTTGGTGTTGGAAGGGACCTTAAAGACCACCTCATTCCATGGGCAGGGACTCCTTCCACTAGGCCAAGTTGCTCCAGCCTGGCCTTGGACACCACCAGTGTTGGGCAACCTGTGGCAGGGCCTCACCACCATCTTCCCAATATCCAAATTCCTTCCCAATATCCAATCTAAATCTGTCCTCTTTTCCTTAAAGCCATTCTCCCTGTTCCATGGGTTGGGGAAAAGTTAGAGCTTATTTTTGTTGATGGCGTCTCTTCCTCTGCTCACTTCTTCTGCCCCTGCAGGTGATATTCTGTGGCATGGTCCAAGCAAACTGCTTTTAAGTGCATTTTGCCCACCTTGCAGCCTTATCTCACCAGAGAGGAGCATCTGGCCCTGAGTTATCATTTGTTATTTCAGGGTAACTCGATGGCAACTGTACTGAAAACTGATGGCAACTCATGCGTGATCTGGCGATAACAGGATAAACAAACACCACCTTCCCACATGCATTAACAGTAATGGAAGGAAAAACTCGTGAAAAACACTGTCAAACCAGTTTAAATATTTCCCCATTTAGGTTCCCCAGATGCTTTACTGCTTCTACTTGTCTCGTACGCGTTTAAATTACGACTGGAACTCCTTCCGCGTTTGACGTTCCTGCCTCCGGAGCTTATGCCAGCTGCAGTCCTTAAGTGAGTGAGTGAAATACTTCCAAATGCCCGGCTGAACAGAGAAATGTAGCTTTGAATTTCAGGGAAGCTTCAGCAAGGGATCATGGGAGTCATTAGTGATGCATGTAATGTGTGTGCAAGGAAATCAGGGCAGGCATTGAGGGGACAATGGCAGAATTTCTGGGAGTGTTTCCGGAGTAACCCCCAAAACCAAGGCCACCACGGCAAGACATTTTGCTCCATCTCTTTTTAAGCCTTTGCTCCCAGGTAACAAGAGACAGGACGAGAGGAAACAGCCTCAAACTGCGCCAGGGGAGGGTCAGGTTGGACATCAGGAGGAATTTTTTTCCTGGAGGTGGTCAGGAGTTGGAAGGGGCTGCTCCCCTAGGGAGGTGGTGGAGTCCCCAACCCTGAAGGTGTCCAAGGAACACCTCTGGTTGAGTTGACAGGATGGGGATTGGACTCGATGATCTCTGAGGTCTTTTCCAACCTCAGTGATTCCATTATTCTGTGAAAGGTCCTCGTGAAACCAATTTCAAGTGCAAAGTAAAGAGAATTAGAGCAGTCAAGCATTCCCAATCTTTGCTGGAAAACAGGAAAACAGGGGAGCAGATCAAAGGGAAGAGGATGGAGCTACCACAGCTGCACAAAAACCCTCTCCAGTAAATTACAAATATTGATGAGGTGAGCTAAAAACCACCCTCTTTTGAGTTTCACTGATGTTTGTGCAGCCTCCATTTGCTCACGGACTGACTTTAAGGCAGGAAAACACTGAATGTGGAACACATGAAATGCTTTTGGTCCCTCCAGGGATCATGGAATCTCAGGATGGGTTGGGTTGGAAGGACCTTAAAGAACATCTGCTTCCACTTCTGCTATCCCAAGTTGCTCCAAGCCCTGTCCAACCTGGCCTTGGACACTTCCAGGGATCCAGGGGCAGCCACAGCTTCCCTGGGCAACCTGTGCCAGGGCCTCACTACCACCCTCACAGGGAAGAATTTCTCCCTAATCTAATCTAAATGAACTCTCCTTTAGTTTAAAACCATCCTCCCCATCCTATAATTATCTGTCCTTGTAAATGGATCATCCTCCATTGCAACCATCACCAGTTTCCAAGGAATAAAGTGATTTTCCAGCCTCTTTTCCCACTAACCAACCCAGCACTTGCTTGTGTCTGGCTTCATCCAACTGCTGTGGTGACGCAGTGAGGTTCCTTCCCTTCTTGTTTCACACAACACTTTAACTAATTTTAGTCTCAGTATGGATGCTGATTTATTGTAACTGAGGTTACTTACATTAATAATAACTCCTGACGTTGGCCTGAACACCTCAGTAAGTAAATTTGCCACAGCTTTGAGAAATCAGGTCCCTAATGAGTATAAAATTACCTGGAAATTGTTCTTGTTGCCAGACAAGATTGAGGAAAAGAGCAAGAGAAAACCCTTCTAGGAAAGTGCAGGGCTGTGTATTGGGTTACAAGCTGGATGCAAATTAGTAAATAATAATAATTAGTTTATTTAGGTTTAGCTGCAAATTAATTACATTCTTGAAAATTTAATTCCTGTTTTTCCTGGGATATTTTCCTTACTTGTCAAATTGGAGGTGTTGTTTCAGCACAGAATTCTTAGTATTTATCATAAAACATTAATGTTGAGGCTCTGAACTCCCAAAGCCTCCCCAGATTCTCCAGGAATCACTTTAGAGAAATGACATTTTGAGGTACATCTCTTCAACACAGATGAGAGATTTACTGACATTACCTTTTCCTGTCAATTTAAAATCTCAGTATATTGCAATAACATCTGAAATAACTAAAAACATGTAGCAATAAAGGAGGGATTTCTAAGCTTATTTAGGGATACTTCCATCTTCTGACTTTCCAAGTGTTTGAAGAGGGTTCCTCTGCTAAAAGAGGGGATTGAATTTCTCTGTGCCCTTTCTGTTACATCACAACATTAACCTCAAAAAGGTCAAAGTTTTGCAATATCAGACAAATTCCATCATAAAAAACTGCTTAGGCAACATTTCTGGCAACTGTAAGTTTTCTGGTGAGTCCATCATAACCTGACATATAAAAGGCTGGACTTGATGATCTTGGAAGTCTTTTCCAACCTTAACAATTCAACGATTCTATGAATGACACAGAGACAACAGGGCAGCAAAAATATTTGTACAAAATATTTTGCAACCTTCTTGCTCCACCCTGGCTTGTCCTATTTTCAAAATTCACCGTGGCTTTCTGTAACAGCTGGGTTTTTTTTAGGATTGACTTGTTGTTAAGGGATGTGGAAAAGGCTCTGAAGGATGGGTGCAAGTTTTTCGTGGTAATAGTTTTAAAGGAATGAGCATGGAGTTACAGTAGATATTTAAAGGTGAAATCGTAAGAGTGTAAAACTGGCAGTGCTACAGATGGCAGTTTGTCTCCTTTTTGGTTCAAAATGTCATGTTCTCTAAATTCCTGCAGGAATGTCCATGTTCCAGAGTACATGTGCAAACATACACGTGTTTGCATATTATGTAGGTGGAGTTATACGCTACATACACAGTGCCAGGAGCTACATGGGACTGATTCCAAGATTTTAAACCTTCACACTGCCAATTAAATTCCCAACTTAAGCCCTGCTTTAGCCGACTTTTAAAACATTCATCCAACTTCAAACATCCGGTTGGTTCCGTTCTTTGTAGCGAGGCCAGAAAGGTACCTGGAACTCCATATGCTCCTGATCAGTTTACTGGGAGATGAAATTATAGCAAAAGTATGTGAAATATAACTCTGTCATATTCCCAAGCCATTTGTCAGTTCACAAGTTACTTGAAATTACTAAAATGTTCCAGAATGTGGAATCTGAAGGCGAGGGAAGGAGAATACATGACAACGTACATATGTAATCACTGCTGATGAAGAAACAACAGTGTAGACTTTTCAGTGGTGTTATTACTCAGTAGGAATTTATTTTAATTTTTATTCTTGAGGTTTGGCTGAAAGAATCTGTTTGAGCCATCTGCCCGCAGAGACATTGCTGGTGTTTCAGTAGTAGCTTCTCAGTGTTGGCAGATTCCCAAAGACCCTTTTTCCACCCTGCTGGTGACTCACTGAGCCGGTTCACATCCCACCTGGATGCCACCTGAGTGTCACATCTCATTGCTATATATGAGGCTACTAAGTCAAAATATCATTTTAAACAAGTCAGAGCTTTCTCCTGTGTATTCCACAGGTGCTTCTTTACAGGCTTTCTTGGGAAATTGTTTCTCCACAAGACTGGAAGGGTTTTTCTCGTGGTTCTGCAAACCACAGTTTGCAGCACTGCTGCATTAATGTAGGAACACAGTTAATGGCTTAGAAGAAAATTTTTTGCCTCAGGAACACGGTGGAAACAGCTTAACCATGATCAGGTTCCTAAACCACATGTGATATTAAAGGATGTGTGTTTATAGATGATCCACAGGGACCAAAGTTCATCCAAGGCACTCACTGGATAAACAGTGAGTGTGTTCCTCACTCCTGCTTTTTACAAAAACTTCCTGCTCATTCAGTGATTTGAAGTATTCAAGTCACTGAAGATGAAGGAAGATTTCTAGACAGGACAGAAAGAACAAATTTGCTCATTTTAGCTCCTCACGGTGAAATTTATTTGGAGTTTCATTAGAACCACCAAGTATTTGGTGTTATTAACCTTTGAGTAGTTTTCAATTGGGTCTGGATGCTTTGCTGCATTTGCTTTGAGTCATGGGTTATACAATAACGTGATGGCTTCTCAGCAGGATTAAAACCTGGGTGCATTAAAATTCAATTAAAAGACTGCGACAAGTGCAGTGGTTGACTCAGACTATTAACTGGGATTGTGTCACTGGAAAATGAACTGGCTTTGTCAGTTCCTGCCAAGGCAGGAAGAGACAAGTTTGCTACAACCCAGTGAAATGCCTGACTCTCTGGTATTTCAGGAAGTTCTAACATTTGTCTCTAATTTTTCTTTCTCCCTGTTTAGCTCACTGACTTCACAATGACTGAGGAGGACTTAGACCACAGATTCAGTTGTCTCACCTGGGATCAGATTAAAATCCTGGATCAGGTTTTAGCTGAGCCCATACCTATTCATGGGAGAGGAAACTTTCCAACGCTGGATGTGAAGCCGAAGGATATCATTCATATGGTGAAGGACCAGCTCATTGAGAAGCAGATCCACGTCAGAGACATCCGCCTGAACGGCTCCACAGCCAGTCACATCCTGGTCAAGCAGAACGGAACCAGCTACAAGGACCTAGACATCATTTTTGGGGTGGAACTTCCCAGTGAACTGGAGTTCCAGATTGTTAAGGAAGCAGTCCTTAATTGCCTTTTGGACTTCCTGCCAAAATGTGTTAATAAGCAAAAAATCACGGCTCAGACCATGAAAGATGTGTACGTGCAGAAGATGGTCAAAGTCTCCACCGACCACGACCGCTGGAGTCTCATCTCGCTGTCCAACAACAGCGGCAAGAACGTGGAGCTGAAGTTTGTCAGCTCGCTCCGGCGGCAGTTCGAGTTCAGCGTGGACTCCTTCCAGATCGTCCTGGACTCCATCCTGGCGGTGTACAGAGCCTCGGACCGCCCGCTGGCAGAGGACTGTCACCCCACCGTCATCGCCGAGAGCATGTACGGGGACTTCAACGAGGCCATGGACCACCTGAAATACAAACTGATCTCCACCAGGAACCCCGAGGAGATCCGAGGAGGTGGCCTCCTGAAGTACAGCAACCTCCTGGTCCGTGACTTTAAGCCGGCAGATGAGGCTGAAATTAAATCCCTGGAACGCTACATGTGCTCCAGGTTCTTCATTGATTTTCCAGATGTTGCCGAGCAGCAGAGGAAAATCGAGTCCTATCTGCGCAACCACTTCATCGGGGAGGAGAAGAGCAAGTACGACTACCTGATGACCCTGCGTGGGGTGGTGAACAAGAGCACGGTCTGCCTCATGGGGCACGAGCGGCGGCAGACTCTGAACATGATCACAATCCTGGCTTTGAAAGTACTGGGAGAGCAGAACATCATCCCCAACGCGGCCAACGTGACGTGCTATTATCAGCCCGCTCCGTATATCAGTGACAGAAACTTCAGCAACTACTACATTGCTCATGGACAGCCCCCCGTGTTCTACCAGCCCTACCCATTCCACATACAGATCCAGAGCGGGATGGTTTAGGAACAACGCCGACCTCCGCAGCACCCACTTACACTCCTCCCTCTTCCCAGTTCTTAATAAAGGCCTCATTAAAGCGAGTTTTATCAGCACTTCTGAGTTAAGGACATATTTTTGTGCAAGTTGCCAAAGTTCTTTGGTTGATCAATGTCTAAAATCACCGATTCAGCACGTCGTGAAACAAGTGAAGCGTCCGTCATTCGTGTAGTGTTTATACCTTGGGCTGTATTTTTTTGCAATGAAAAGAGAAGGGTATAAATTGTTCTAATTTTATAAAATGAAATGCACTAAGTTCTGGGTTCTAAAAAAAAAAAAAAAAAAATTCTGAAGCAAAATTTAAATAGTGTAAATGAAAAATGAAGCCAATGAAATACCTCTCAGTAGAAACGCCTGATGTTAGAAGTGTTAGATCATCTCTCCGTTATATCCATGTGGTTCCAGCAACATTTACTTGCAGCACCTTTGAAAATACACATTGATGGGTTGTCTCTTGGTGGTGTGAGCTCTGCTTCACAGTCTGATCGTCCCTCAGGTGCAATCAGAGAGGTCCCTCTCCTCCCCAGAGTACTGGTTAGTGCTGGGGAGCAGGAAACACCCTCACCAAGAGCAGCCTCAGCACTTCCTGTGTCCAAAATTTCCACTGATCCGAGTGACAGATTTGGCTGCTCAAGTCATGCAGCATCAGATCCCGGGATCTGCCTCCCAGATAACGAGAGTTGTAAGAGATACAACTATTCTGATTAAATTGTTCTTGAAAACCAAGGCAACAGAATGAGAGAGAAGGTGAAAATTGAGCACACAGGGCTCGCTTTCTGTTGCTAATTTATTATCGATCTGAGCTGCTTTAATGCGCAACAGTCAGGAAAAAACCAAAAAGCCCAGGACTGCATTATTTTTAGGTGAATTAAAACAAATCCTTGGCAGTGGCATTTGAAAAAAATATTTCATATTAGCAGCATCCTGTGTGTGCTGAGATTCCTGCACACACACACCAGTAGCAAGTGAGGATTTAACGATCAGGAAGCAAAACATTAGTTACGAGGTTTATTTTTTGTGTGTGTGTGTGTCTGTGTGTGAGTGTTTACCAAAGATAAGTTTTAAACATGTCACATAAGTGCCTCCCTGTGCCAGTTGCTCCATGGAGGTTGTGGTGGTGTTGGAAATGGTGCCAGAGAGCCCCTGAATTAGGGAAAGGGAAACACACGCCCTTGGGTTGGAAAGTGTTTGTAGCAGAGGAGGTTGGAGAGGTGGGAAGTGTTTGCTCCGGGATGAGCAGGTTTGGGACAGGTGGATCTAAGGTGGTGTCACCAAAACTGAATCTGGGACAAGGAATAGCACGAAAAGGAGATTTAGAATTGGTGTGGATGTAAGATTGGAACAGCAAACTGGTAATGCAAAGCTGTAGAGTTTCTTACATCGATGCTTAACGTGTTGCTGTGTCATCCTGTGAGTCCCCTGTGGGTCCTGTACCATCCTCATCCTCATCCTGTTCAAAAGCAGTGGCTGCATTTTATTGATTTACTGAAGTGTCAGGTCTTGGAAGTTTCTTCTACTTGGGCATGAGCGCTTGATTGATTTTACTCACAAATACACTACATAAATGTGCTATTTTAAATCAAACATTTCTAAAATTTCTATGAAGTCCTACAGCCAGTGAAATGTAGCTTCCCTTTCCCCTCTGATATTCCTGTACAGTTGAACAAAGAGCTGTTCAAAGACAACTTTGCTGACCATCATCACTACAGTCAACTGTTTTCTGTAAAATATAGTGCAAAAATGATGTTTCTGCAACATAAGAAGGGTTTGCCAATGATGCTGATTCATTTTGTGATGCCTCTCATGAATATAGTACTGTTACTTTTGCTGATTTTTCAGGTATGTCCAGTTTTGTGTCTAAAAGCACACTTGGTTCCACTTCCACGAATATCTTTCCATTGGCTAAAGTCTATTTAATAAAATCATCAATCCTAATTGCTCTGTTATCAGCTGTGATAACACCATATTTGCATGAAAGCACTTCTAGGGAATTCCCCATCAGGAGCGAAATGGAGTGAAAATGGTGGTTTCATTTTACTTATTAATTGAACTCTTTGGATGATAAAGGGAACCTTTACATGTAGTTTGGTATTTGCCAAATTAAATAACACTGTGAAAAATCTTGTCAGAGCCTTACATGGGTCGTGTCCCTGTGCTCCAACGCTTGTGTGACCTGCAGGGAGGAGGAGCCAAGAGTTGGACTGGGGAATCTGTGGGAGTCAGGCATCCAAATACCTTGTGTTTCAGGAGGAATGGGGCTCCTAAACTCCCTGAATTGATTGGAAAATCTCAGTCCATCTGCACTGGCCTGTGACCTTCATGCAATGTAGCACATCAGTTCATTACTCCTCCACTCCTGGTTTCCGTGGTTGGTGGGTGGAGAAATGGGTTGATCTTCTCAAGAAGCAGGAAACAGGTCAGGCAGGAAGGAGCATTTTAAATGTGTCTGATCCATTACCCTGAGAAATACTTCAAAAAGTTGGTTTTAACCAACAGGTAGGAACACTTTTGAATCAGATATTGTGAAAACTATCAGGAATGGTGAAATCACTCTGGATTTGTGTAAACCAGCCTGTCCACTGGTACAGCAACTGTTTATTTAAATGTATATTATATTCTGTGAGGTCTCTGTTTATACATGCAGGTAAGGAAGGGCTCAGCCAAAGCCCATGGAGTTGGTGGGAAGAATCCACCCAACTGCAATGGGCTTTGTACCCCAGAAAAGAGCAAAGGACTTAGGTGAGGACCTACAGGTAAAGGTACAACAACATCAATATGCAAAAATCTCTCAGGTATCAATAAACCCTTTAAATTATTGAAAAAAAAAAGGTCTTATATTTCATGCCTAGAGGTAGTTAAGTTCTGAAGGTTCAGTGAGGTTTAGGATTCTGTATATGTAAGTATTTATATGTCATTTATTTATCCTTACATATATGAAATCTCGTGTTTCTACACCCACGGGGCAATTACCAAAACCTGATGGTTTTAATTATTTCCTTCCAGATGTTATATTGACACCTGGCAGCAGTATTTGACCTGGAGATTTTTTTTCAAGGTCATAGTGACTCTGTAAAGCAATTTTAAAAAGGGGATGATGAATTGACCGCTGCCTGCAAAACATTGATATCAGTGTGTGAGATGAAATATTGAAACATTGAAACCTCTTCTCCAGTTGTTACTGATTTTACCACGTGCAGATATAAATCTACAAAGAATTGAGAGTTTTCTCAGTCCCAGTCTCCTGAGCTTCATACCTGCATTATAATTATATCTCGTTGTTGCAATCTGTTCAATGATTATTATACCTGGAAATTGTAATGCTGATTTTATTTAATCACATAAAACTTAAGGTTTACGGCTTAAAATAATAGAATGTTTGTCAGGGCCTAAGTGTTACAGTTTCAAGTGCTTTCCTAAAAAATGTCATTTGAATTTTGTGTTACGTTGTAAAAGGTCTATTTGAAGCAAATACTTTATGGTAGTTCCTTTAAAATGTATTTTGTGAGCTTTATACTTGACATGTCACAATGGTCTTTGCAATGGGTAAAGGGAATGTAAAGTTGTCCTGAGTCGAGGTGTTCCCTCTCCTGTGGGTCTGTGGGTGATTTGACTGCTGTTGGAGGAGTTACAGCGACATAAATCGGGAATTACACAGGTGTGGGCTCAACATGGTTTGCAGAAATACCTGGAGGGAGGGCAGCAAAGAGAGCTGGGCGGGCCAGCACGATTTTCACAGCTCAGTCTCGGGCTGATTCTTCTGTTAAACAATCAAATGGAAGGGTGCTCAGGACAAAGCTGTGGCAGCTGAAATATTTCACTCAATGTACCACCTTGAAGCTGTTGAAAAAAATGTTGTAACGCCAAAAACGTGTGTGAATGCCACCAGGCTGTGGGTGGTTAGTCCTGTAGGGGGTGAGTGGTGCCTTTGGGTGTTTGGGGAGTGACCATTAAAACAACATTTGGTTTAACGGATGGTTTATCGGAATCCCTTCCTTACTCCAGCTGGACACCAACTGGAGCAGGGAGGTTTTGTCCAACAGCCCAACCTGGGGGGGGGGGGGTGCAACTGCAAGAGAGATACCAGTTTGGTTACATTTTCTTGGGTGGATAAACCACTGACTCCCAGTTCATCAGGGGTCCACTGTCTGACCCACACGGAAGGTTCCCGTGGATCTCCCGATACGCTGGAATGGCTCTGTCTAGTTGTCAACAGGCTTGTGTCAAATATTCCCATTTGAAGTGCCTAGATATATATATTTATATAATGAAAACATGACTGTCTGCTGGGTGAATAAAATTAATACTTAAATGACAAATGATTTGACTTTACATCTGCCTAAAAGTACATTTTACCTGCTCTGAATGCACATTGCCATAAATCTCATCATGTTTTTATCCAGGCTGTAGGATTTCTGTTGTACATGAACACGGCCAATGCTGGTGATTTTGGAGCAAATCCTACAAACTCAGAGTTTTCAGCTCATCACAGTTACATTTATGGTTGTTTACTTGGATTTTCTGGGTTTTTGGGGGGCTGGGTTTGGGATTTTTTGGTGGTTTGGGTTTTTTTGTTTCATGGACTGGGTTTGAGCTGCTGCTCATTAATTCAATCATAGTTTTTAAAAAGGACAAGACAATATTGTTCTTTGTCCCTGTGGCTGTCATATGCTGTTATATCCCATGGACCCTCCAGTGCCTTACAAGGAGGGGTGGGGACATGCCAGGGGTTTCAGCCCCACCTGAGAGCTTGGAAATTCCCGATTTGGCCTCTTTGTGTTGACTGTGCAGTAACAAGTGGTTCACATACAGCAAAGGTGCTGCCATTTGGTGGGAATGGGGAGGAAAACCAGGCTCAGAAATCCAAGGATGCTGGAGCGGGTCCCTCACCAGCCCCTCTGAGCTGTGCCCCAAAGCCCTTTGTTACCCAACACTGATGAGATTAATGGGATGGGAAGGGGGATCTGCAAATCTCCTCTCTGTTGACTCAAAATGGTGTTCAGTGTTTTCCCCCTTTGCTTCCCGGCTCCCTCAGCTCTTCCTTGAGCACCCAGTGCCATCCCAAGCTCTGGATGAGGGAGGGAGGCAAGACCCCCACACTCTGGGGAGTTCTTTCACCTGTTTTTCACAGTGAAATGGATTTTTTTTTTTAAAGTCTTCCCATTATTTTAACCAGTAAACACCATTCAATAATAATTTAATTTCCTGACCCTTTTCTTTTCTACAGCCAGATTTTTAGGAGTCTGCCTCTTAATAAAATGAAAAGTGGGGAAGTGGGAAGGCAGCCCACATAGGGGGCTTAATTTCCTCAAATATCCACCGGATGCTTTCCTGGGGAACTCAAAACCTGAGGAAATACATGAAGCTGAGGGAGAGCTGTTTTGTTCTAGTCCCTGCCACCCCCATTTTTTCTGCTCCATCAATCTCCATCATTAAATACTATTTCATAAGCAAGTGATTTTCTTCTTACCAGCTGCTTCCATATTCAGCTCCATTTCATCCTGTACCATTGCAGAACCTGAGCCTCGGAAATCACAATTAGTTACCATGGAAAGCAATTCAATACCGCAATAAATGCACTCCAAGGCTGCTCACCCTGCTACATATTACAAAATAAAAATAAAAATAAGTCCTCCCGAGAACTGGCTGCAGACCATGGGTGTCTGTGTTTGTGGGCAAGCGTGTGCTCCTGCACACACGGGGTAATGTTATTTTTAATGCAATTTTCCTCGTGTTTGGGTGTATGTGAAGAGCAAACCCCTCCACGATGCAGCCCTGCTCCTTCACGAGCCCAACCCTCCAGTATGAACCCCCTTTCCCCCCATCCTATAGTTCATTTTCCCGTAAATATTCCCATCCTGTTGTTGACACGAGTTTATTTCTCACTCGTTCTGTTTGCTCTCTGGAGCAGACGGGGACATGATGCCGCCCATATGTTCCTGTATTTCTGCACACACACAGCCAGTGGCATTTCAGTGTC